GGCCGAGGCGGCGGGCGCGGGGCCCACGAGGTAGGCGAGGCCGCGGGCGTCCACACCGCAGGCGGGGGGTCGGGGGCGATGGGCGAGCGGACCCGAGCCCCGGGAGCGGGAGGTGGCTGCCCCGGAGGCCTGGTGACCGAGTGACACCGGGTGACTGAGGGGCGGAGAGCCGTTTCGAGCCCTAAAGCGGGGTTTTAGAGGGTGTGGGATCCGTGCGTGCAGGAAGGCTGCCCCGTGCAGTTATAGGAACAGGAAGAGGACACAGTGACACTCGGCTGTCGCTGGAGGACCGCGAGGGCGGTGTGGATGGAGGCAGGCCGGACTCCTGCAGCCCCGGACCGGCGACGAGGACAAAGCCGGTGGGAACGTCTCCTGCCCAGGCTCGTCCTGTGAGGTCGAAGGGGACAGAGATGGGAGAGGCGACGTCCTGGCCTCGGCCCTGACGCACGGGGGGAGGCGCAGAGGAACGGGAGCTCCGGGGATTGTCCCGCCAGAGCCTTGTCGAGGAGACTTCGCTGCTGTGGGGTCTGGGACAGGACCCTCGTCGTGTGGAGGAATTCCCGAGGTGGCCGGGCCCTAGAACTCGAGTCCTGAATTTATGAAATCAAAATAGATTGCATGGTTGTCTTTTGTGACTGAGGCGGTGGCGTTTTAGGGTTAGGATCCTAATAGCGACCCGGTGCATGTGGGCCAGGCCCCTGAGACCCTGGGAGAGCCTCAGCTGGACTCGTAAACACTCTACCACACGTTTATATCTGCTTATTTGTTTCCTGACGCCTGACAATCTGGAGGAAATGTGTTTTCTGTGTCTGTATTGGGGGCTGACCTGGAATTCTGGCAGATCTCTGGGGTTGAAGGGGCTGTGCAGACTCCCAGACTGTAAAAGTAACATCAAAGGCGGAGAAGCAAGTCTGTCGTTTCTCCAGCTGTGGGCAGTGTCCTCAGAGAGGTGAGGTGCATGGCTGGGGAGTTCGTTGGCAGCTTTGTTTCTTTTCACCTATTCTCTAGGAGTTCTGTGGAGCAAAGCATTCTGAACCGAGGTGTAGATCAAGGGTAGGACTTAACGGATGCTCGAAATGGGTTGGGCATGAGCAAAGGCTGGAAAATGCTTCACAGGGACAACGAAAGGAAGCCATCACAGGCACAGTCTTTGCCTTAAAATGTCAAGGATCAGTCATTTTAATAGGCACTTGCTCAGAATGGCGTGGGCGTCTTTTTTCTGTTCCTTTTTCATGTCAGATATGTCATGACCCCTGATACCAAAAGATGTTAACCTTCACAGATGGGAAGCACGGGGCTCCAGTGGATTCTGAACAGCCAATCTTCGCTTAATAGGTGATATTCTTATCATAAGTCAAATGTTATTCAACTAAATTGTCTTAAATGTCATTGGAAATTACTTTCTAAACTAACATTTCACCAATCTTGATGCTTCCATTTTGTATTGATAATGAAAATACTTTTTATCAGTCTTACATTGATAAAGGGTTGGCAAGTTTAGCCAGAGCATTTTAGAGGGATTCAAACAGCCTAAAGCCTTTTCAGGAGGTTTATTTTTATAGATGCCAGTTCATTTGTAAGCCAATAAATTACATGGTTTGAATTCTGGCTATTGAACTTACATCTGTTGGGCAGGGGCTGGTAGAGACGCTTACTGAAGCTCGCAAAAAGATATTTTTATCCTGTTTACAAATAAAATAGAATTTAAAAATGATTATGGGATTGTGCAAGTGAGCAACTTTATTTGAAATTAGAATGCTTTATTGCAATTTATATCAGCAATTAACCATTTATTTGAGCTTTTGGATGGAAAAATTACAAAGTATTTATGCTCTAATGCTCACTTAAAAAACAAAGTTGGAAAAATATTGTTTATCAATGTGAGAAGAGAAGCTCTTCACTTATACCCCAGGGAACCTACTTGTAGCTGCAGGCATTCTAAATTAATTTGAGTAAATATAGGTCAAGAAGTGAGCATTGTTGTAAGCAGTCTCTGTTAAGAAAGTAACAAACATGCAACTTTGTTTTCTGCTTCTGTAATTGTACTTAGTAGCTGATTACAGATTATTGAATCTACAGTGTGCTAGGCTAATGATTTTATTCCTCCAGCCTCCCTGAGTTAACCACCTGATGGGGTAATCCACCCAGCTAGTAGGTCTAACTAAAGCTTGGGTTTGCCACATCATTCAGGATAGTAAAATACTAAAGCTTATTTATGTTTTAGAATAAACGCTAGTAGGATACCCTTAGTTAAATTAAATTTTATAGTGTAGTTAGCAAAGGTTATTTTCTTTCAAATTTATTTGATGTGACTTTCTCCCTGTGGGGTGGCATTTAAGCTTTTGTGTTATATTTTTATGCCACGATTTTATTCTTGGTGATGCTCTTGTGCTGTTGATATCCAGCTAGAAGTGAGGTGCTATCTGAGCAGAGAGGAGGCTCTCTGGCATTGATCAGTTTGATGAACAGCAGTAGTTTTTGGCAGAAATATTCTATATAGACGTAAATTGGGACAATTGTTTTTTCTATTAAGCTTCTGCTAAACTTGAATTTATGCTTGTCACTATTTCCTTTCGTACTGAAATTAGTCCAGAATGGTAAGCCTGGAAATCTTTGCAAAATTAAAGTGTTTGCAGAATAGAGAGAAGAAAAAGAAACGTTTTAATTTGATCACTCACTCTGACTTGCCAAATGGAGAAAGCTAAAGGCGTGAATGGAAAGGTTTGCCAAAGCAGAGTTTGTCCCTGTTCATCCCTTTAGTTATAAAGTAACTAAATTAGTTGCTGGGTGGTCACTGCCTGGTCTGTGAACCCCCAACAGCTATGTCTGAACACAGATCCAAAAGTGTCTATGATGATACCCAAGGAGAGCGGCTGAGCCAACAGGGGCATCCAGACATTCCAGGGAGCTGTTCAGCTGCTGGACCATCTGGAGGGGAGATGAAAGGCCTGGGCCGGGGACTCTGGCATTGTGCTCATTTGTTATTTGCTTTTCTCTTGCCAGACTTTGTTCCCCTTTCACAGCCCTGGCCCAGAGCAGACATCCCCTTTGGCTGGGGTGCTATTCTTACAAGCTCCTTTCTATACCTTGGACGCTGGAAGGTTCATGAGTTCACATACCCACTTCATGCTGGCCTTATGTTGGTGACTTCATTATACAGCTGTGCCTCCACCTCTCTTTTCCAGTCCCACTTGGCTGTGATTTCATCAGCCACGGTTGCCTAGTGGAGCGCAGTAACACAGGTCTGTCATGGACCAGGGTCTGCACATTTTGGCAGCCTTGTTTTGAGTTATTTGGAAGGAAAATGCTCTGAATAGTTCTCATTATGGGTGGTAAATGTTTTGATTAATGGCTCTGTGCATCTGCCTCTTATTTAACCTCCCAAAATGTTGCCCACACTGGCCCTTTTATTCCAAAGGACTCCTGAAGGCTTCTGACAATTTGATTGGGAAGGTAGGTGGTGAAAAGAGGCCCAGGTTTGTGGCAGGCTTTATGAAACTGGAATTTCATGAAGGAGGATTTATCACTCCAAACCCAGCTCTCTCCATCTCTGAGTAAGATTCCTGTCGCGGGCGGGTGTCAGTGAGGCCCTAACTCTGGAAATCGTGGAATTGCAGGTTAGACATACATGAGCGTTGGGGGAAGTAATTTAACAATTACCAATTCCTGGACTATGCTCATTGTTGAAGACATGGGACTCTTCATGATCATTTTTATATAAAACTTTGTTTTTTCCTTGCCCTGAGTTCCATTTGGAGGAGTTTTTGGCCATCCAGTGTCCCATGTGGTCTCTGGTACTTGGTACTGTCCAACTGGGTAACACATGAAGGTGCATGTAAGTGATTTGCCTGTGATATCATTTCAGGGGTCCCATTCATGTTCTGTGCGCATGTTCGGGATTGAGAGCAAGTATAATTTACAGTCAGACCGGGGTTCAGATCTTGGCTCCACCCCATGTTAGCACCGTGTCCCTGGACAAATTGTGTAATATTGCCAAGCCCCAATTTCTACTTCTTAAATGGGAATATGATATCTACTATAAATAATTAGGATGATTCAGTGAGATCGTATGTAAAATACGCAGCATAGGCCAGACTCAGTAAATGCTCAGAAGTTAAAAAAAAAAAAAAAAAGTATCTTCTGAACTCCCACCTATATTTCAGCCTTTCTGCTTTGTTTGACATTAAACTTATCAATAATCTGCCTTTAAAGATGGAGGGAGCACTGAACATTCCCTGCTGCTGTTACCATTTAGGAATAGAATATTGTTTATTTATGTCATGCATCCCCTGCCCGTTCTCATTCTCTGAGCTGTGGCTCCTGCTTTGCTCCTTCGTAGGCAGGTCTGTGGCTGATTGACTGTGCATTACCCTCTGCAGTTCACCCTCCTTGGTAAGTGGCAGGTGTTTTCTTGGTTGTTTTCTCAATTCCCCCCTTGTATCCACTTTCTCTGGGATTAGCTATTCTCACTTGCTTGCCATCTTTAACCCTGGGGACAGCCCTTCCAGGTGGGTATTATTATTCTCCTTCTGTAAACAAGGGACTTGGGAAAGGGGTTTAATACAGATTCTCCTCCAAAGTCGTATCCCATAACAAATAAATGCAGCAGAACTTTGTGAATCCATTGGCTTAATTGCTAACTCAGTGAATCAAACTTCGGATGGCTCCATGTGGGTACAGTTTGGCGTGAGTGCTGGCTTTCTGCTTCTGCTTGCTGATGTCTTAGACTGAAAATGCCTTTGAAAAGGGGTCGGATGGGGGAAGTAGAGGTGTGCTTGTGGAAGAAGTAGGCATTTCAAAGTCTTCATATTCTCATTTCTATAGCTCTCCTTCAGGGTAAGTGTCCACTCAAGGAAACTCATACCCTAAGACCGACCATGGTGTTGCCCGACTCCCTGGGGTGGAAAGCAGACTGTACTAGGCATTTAGGGGAATATATAAGAGAAATAGAAATTGTGGACTTTGCCCTTAAATTACTGCCAAGTGGGGAGAAAAAAATTCTTGCACATGAAATTACTGATGAACATTTGGGAAAAACATCAAGCAGTAAGGACGCGTTCTGTGCCGGAGGACTGACAGCTTGTCACCGTATGTCACATCTTTTGGATGATTCCCTATGATCACTTGTTCTGCAGGGTGGGGCTGTTTCCCCCTTCACTCAAAAGAATGTTTTCCTCAGCACAGTGTCATGGGAAGGAGGGAGATGAAATAGAGGGATAAAAAAGGAAGGCTGCTGTACAATGAGAGTTTGATTTAGTGAGCATCCAGCGACCTCCCCGAGTGGGGCATGGGAGCCTATCAGGTTCAAAGCTGTGGGTGAGATCAGGACTCCTCAGTGCATGTGAGTTTTACGGCCCTCTTTCATTGGTCTGGATGGATAAATCCCCACCCCTTAAAAATAATTTCAAAAAGGGGAAGTGTTCGAATTCTTTCACTTTTGAGTCTTTTTTAAAAATATGAAAAATCAAGCAAAAGCAGAAGAGCCTGGCTTTTATGAAGTTGGTCAGATCACAGCCCAGGGGACTGTAAAGCTTAGAGGTGAGTCTGAGAGCTGCGGCAACCCCAACAGTCCCGAGCTCCCTGGGGCTTCCCAGCAGGTCTTAGTTGACAATTAACTGGCCTACTCCAGGTGAATCTCGTTAGCCGAGCCTCAGCCTTGTCTTGATTCCTAACTTTTGTGGCTTTGCTGAACACCTTGGTCGTTCTTTTCTGAGGCTTTGATGTTTATGTAGCACTAGCGTCTTATTTTGAAAACATTTACATGATTAGTTAACCCAACCGACCAACCCTGGGAAGGCAGCCAGAGCCAGCAGCACCTTAGTAACAGAAACACTGATAGTTAGGAGAAGAGACCTTCCCAGACCAGGAGCCTGGACCAACGTGGTACCACTTTGCCGTAACGCGTGGCCCCGGTAAAAACCGAGGTACGCAGCCATGCTGTTTGAATCCCTCTTCTGAGTCCACCTGGTTCTGCTGAAGCCTTTGGGATGGTCGTGGCTGCTTTGTCACGTTTTGAACAGTTGTCTGTTGAAAGAAAGCCGCACAACCTCGAGCAGCACTGGTCTGTTCCGGAAGGCTCTGATGTTCGGTTCTGTCCGTGTTAACTCGGATGTGTACCACGTTGGAATGACCTGCTCTGTGAAACATCACCTCTAAGGGAGTTTTCTGACCCAGGGCTTGGTTTAGTTAAAGGTGCTGCTGGTAAACGAAGATTGGTGGTTGCCAGGGGCTGGGGGAGGGACTGGGAGCCGCTGGGCGGTGGGTGTAGAGTTTCAGTCGGGTGGGATGCACAAGTGTGAGAGATCTGCTGGACAGCAGTGAGCACACAGTGAACAATACTGCACTGCACTCTTAAAATTGTGTTAATAGGATAGATTTTACATTACGTGTTTTTATCACAATAAAAAATTATATTGGCAAGCTTTTTTTTTTTTTTAAACAAGGGGCTAGTTCTGAGAGCCTGTTTCACATGGCTGAGGTCACTGTCTCAAGGGATATGTCGTGTTTGGTTTCCATTGCGTCATGGTGAAGGTACCTTCAGATATGCGGTTTCAGGCTTTCATTAGAAGACTCAACATGTTAAAAATGAATTATTGTGCAAGCAAAAAACCAGATTTGATTCTTTATGAGGAACCTAGTATTTTATGATGTATATTTTTAGCAAAAACGATTGAGGGTTATTGATGACTCCATGTTTTTACGGATCCCGTGGATGGTGGAAAAACGGAAGGCCTGGGGTTGGGGTGGTGGGAGAGATGGGAGACAGAGTAACAAGGTGTGCGGAGGTGTGATGGTCTGGATAGCAGAGGTGCCTCGAGATTCTGTTTGATTCACATACGGTCTGTGGCTCCTTGAACCTCCCCGTCTGCAAGGTTGGAATAGTGTTTTCCCCTTTCTCTAGGCAACTAAACATTACCTAAGACTCCCGGGGACTAAAGCGAGCTTCAGGGAATACTATTCCTGTCACACCTCATGTAATTGCACCAATGAAGTTAATTGAGTTGCTTTTGGAGGAACTCATGTGAAAGGCACTTGGTCTCATGTAAATAGGGAGGTGTCCACCCAGTGCCTCTTTGCTCCATCCTCCAGTCTAATTACACAGGGTTGGAGAGAAACAAACAGCTTGGCCACGCCCAGACCGCAGCCTCTGGGCAGGTCCTCCAGATCTCGCTGACCACATGGAAACTCTGGCCCTGCAGTCTATTAGCACTAACAATTAGTTCATTTGAAAGGCCTGGACGTCAGAAGTGGCCTTCCTCCTTCTGTAAATCCTGGGCCAGATAAGGTGAGAAAGAGAGAACTGCTTTCAGTCTTGAATTTGACAAGCAGCTGCCCGCCTGAGGGCCAGGCCGGAGGGGAGGGTGCCTTTCTGCCTGTGAGACTCCCTCCGTCCGGTAATGTGACCCAACCTTGTGGATGTGCTCCCCACTGGTGTGAGTGCATGTGGGAGCCCCACTGGTCAGGGCTGGGCCCCGGAGAGACCCGTGGTCTTGTTGGGGGTCGTGCAGTGTTACCCCTCCTGCTGGCCCTCACCAAGGTCTCCAGGGGACCAGGACTTATGGAGCATTCCCAAGGGGCTGGCAAGGGCGGGGCATTGTGCCGAGGGGAGGTGATGGTAGGGCTCGAGGGGCAGCCACAACCTATCCTTCTCTCTGTCCCGCACAGGTGAGCGCTGTGGGCGATGGGATGGATGAGGCCGAGCAGGACCAGCATGAGGCCCGACTCAAGGAGCTGTTTGACAGTTTTGACACAACAGGCACTGGATCCCTGGGACAGGAGGAACTCACCGATCTTTGCCACATGTTGAGCTTGGAGGAGGTGGCCCCGGTGCTGCAGGAGACGCTGCTTCAGGACAACGTCTTGGGCAGGGTAAGGCCTAAGGAAGAACCCGGGCAGAGGGAAGTGGGTGCGGTTTCTGTCAGCGCTGGGGGTGGGGCAAACCATGCCTGTTGCAGCTTCTAACATCCTGGCTGTGTGTGCCCTTAGCTGTTACCCTGATAAACAGAAAACGTGGGACGGTGTGACATGACAGTGCAGTTTGCACAGGTGATGAGGGCCTGCTTGAATTTGTTCTCTGGAATGGAGGTGCGCACTGAGCATCTCAGATGGAGGGAGGAAGGGGTAACAAGAGGATGTTTTCCAACTCTTGTTCTTTGTGGGTCATTTGAGGGACTCCACGTTCATCATTGGGACCGAAGGGAGGGGGCCGAGATTTCCACTGAAGAGAAGGAAGATGCAGTAAGAGAAGGAAGAGTAGGTTGTGTTATGACTTCTCCCAATGAAGCTATTTCTTGTGTGGATTGTTTCTGGGGTGAAGTGTTAATTAAACCTTTCATCCAGGAAATAAGACTGGAGGGAAGGTAAATACAGTGCAGGTTCATTTAAAACCCAGCAGGACGTGCTTCCAGCAGAGTTGTGTGTGTGGCTGATGTTAGCTTCTACGTATGACAACAGATAGCATATTCTCCCCAGTGATAACGTCACAGAGATGAGACAGGCAGAAAGGGGGCCTCTTTGTTGCTGTTAGTAGAAAGGACGTTTGCTCTGTCATGACCCGATATTGCCTTCAATTCTCATAATTACCATTAAGAGCATCATTAGTGTGGCTTTGGGCTGATTCTTGCTGTTGGTTTTTAGGGTGGTGAGAGGAGAGCGCGGGCAGCACTGTTCGAACTCTGTTGCTGTCAGTGCTGAGACTGTAGACGATGGTTTCTATCCTGTGGTGTAAACTGAGGAAGCAGTCATGAAACCCAGCTCTATTGCAGCGTCTGAACTTCCTTTTCTTCATTTCGTTCTCACTGTCTCTTAGCTGACAAGCTGGGTAAGTGACCTCAGATGCAGTAGGACGCATTGGCTCTCTGACATGAGGCAGGAGTAGCAATTGTCCTGAAATTAACATACAGAGGATGATATTCTCGGGGGCTTGGCACCATGAATGTGGTGGTTAACGGCTCACACTCGAAGATAAAAAATGTGAATTTTTTTGCAAAACTGGAACCATTCTTGGTCACTTTTGGGGGATTAGCTGCTTGTGAATACATGTGCTCACTAAAAAATGCTAAAAATCTTGTTTTGAAAGCAGTAGAAATGGGAGCTTTGAAGATTAACCATTCGCTCCTCAGCACGTAGTGCACTCAGGTGTTTTTAGTTCTGTGTCAATCTCAGACACTTTGGGAGCTACAAGAGGAGTGTTTCCCGGTGTGGTCCTTGGAGATCTTGTGGTGTCTAAGGAATAGTGTCAGAGTGGATCTGTTTTAATGCTGATTAAAGCCTGAGAAGACGTAGTATAATTTAAAGTTTCCTTGGGAGGCCATCTTAGAGTCAGCGTGAACACAGAACCTCTACAGGAAACGGACTGCACTTCGGCCTCGGCCGTGGATTAAGTTTGCTTCCCAGGCGTCGCACGCACGTCTTTGCCCTCACTGGGCGGACGAGATGGGGGACCAGTTATCGATTGACTTGTTAACCACTTGACACTACCAGCCCGCTTTGTATGTTTGCTATTTGCCTGTGAATAATGAATACCTAAGTGGTCTAGAGTGTGATATTTACTTCGTGAGCCCGTGATACAAGTTAAATAGATTTTCGCATATTGATCTCATGTGGGAGGTCCCCGGTGATTGTCTTGAGAGCAGGGTTGGCATGAATTAATGCACTACTGTTAAATTTGCATTTTTTATGAAACCAAATTATTCTCCTCAGATGATCACATAAACATGGCCATATGCTGTTAAGATACTCTATATGGTCTATCATTTTAAGTTACAAGGAAAAAAGTCCTTAGAATTCACTGGAGAATTCTGAGTGCTCTCACCTTCTTGATATATTGAGTGGAGGTTATGAGTGGTAAAATTCTAACTTGTTTTTAATGCCAGTCATCTTTCTTCTCTTTATATGGTATTTACAGAAAAACTTATAAAAGTTAGCAGTTTGGTTCAGTAAAAAAGGAGAAAGAAATAGTAATATGACAAATCTAAATATTCATCTATTCATTAACTCAACAAATATGTATCACGGTGCCTCCATGTCAGGCAGTCTGTGGTCCTGTGGTACGGGTGCAACTTGTGTTTATTGTAAACTAAAGTTTTCCATTAAAGTGACTTTGGGATACATTAGTATCCATCAGCTTCCTGGATGCTTGTGGTTTTAATTTTGTCTTTTAAATCTTAACAAGTATAATTTTTAAATAAAACAATATTTCCAAGTTTTACCTCCATTGGAAGTGGGCTGAATTAATCATTTTGTCTTTAAAAAGAAATAAGATAAAAAGCATTGTCCCCCTCAACTAAAAATATGAATATTGTCTTTTTTATTTTAAAATTCATCTTTAATAACTTCTTGGGTTTTTTTAAGCCTAATGTTTCTTTTGACCATTGTTAAGGAAAGTAACTTCAGTTGACTTGCCATTTTCATGCATTTTACTAATAAGCCATTTACCCCCAAATTATGTTTCCCTTCATCTGTCTGATCTTGCTTTATGACTTGAAGTCTTATTCCCCTGAGCACTATATAAGTGTTCGACATGCCTGAAGATGGTGGATCACTGATTTGAAGGAAAGAGGTCATTGCTGGTAGGTGTTTCCTACTAGGTTATAGAGAGAGCTCCATCCATGTCTTTGTCATCGGTGAAGCACCTGTCAGGTGGGTTAGCCCCCAAGACAAGGAACTCCTCCAGATGCTGAAGGACTTACGGTCTGGCCAGGTAATATGCCTGGTGGGTGAATAGTACTGGGAGTAAAACAAACCTTTAAGGAAGGGAACCAGTCAGCTCTTTCATTGAACCAAGTTTTCATCCAAGTGATTGATACCAGTTGTAGATGCTTCCTGTTTTTGTGTCTTTAAGTGAAGTGTTCCCACATGCCTCTCGATCTCTTTTATTAGAAATCAGGACATGAAGATGATCATTTACCTTAGTTTTATTGAAGCCTTTAGTTATATTGAGTTTTAAAAATGCATTTTCCTTTCCTTATGGCGTATACCAACTTCGAGGCACAGCAGCCCCCGGGGATTCTGACAAGTTTCCTCTTCAGCCACGCTCCTGACTACGAATCCGGAAGCTGAAGTACCTCAGGGCCTTGGCACTCTTCAGAATCAGAATGAGCCTTATGGCAGCAGAGCTCATCGTTGGCTTCCAAAGGGTCCTGTAGGGTGTGGGCTGTGGTCATCAAAGGCACTTTGGAATTTTTAGTATTAAAATGTGATGGCTGTACAAATATAGACTTCATCTCGGCTTTCCCACCTTCCGTTTTCACGTGCTTGGGGCTCTTTCATAAATGTCATGATTAATTTCATTTGGTGGATATACTTGTTTCTTTGTTTCCAATTCATTAAGCTTTTTAAGCTTTCTTTTTCTTACACACATTTTAACCATTTGAAAAGTAAATCAGAAATACAGAGGTCCTTTCCGGTGGTGATTATTTGGACTTGTTCTCAGTGTACAACATTCTGCTTGGTCGTCAAGGAGAGCCTATTTATAACTACCCTGTGTTCGTGCTCCTGTTTCATATTATTGATCCGAGGCTTTTTAATGCATTGGAGGGCATTTCTCCAATGGAAATATTTCTCACTGCACCTCTTAATGTCTGAAACTTCGCTGTGTCTTACTGTTCAACCACCAAAGTTTAACCTGAAATGGTGGGGGATATTTTCTGATTCCTATCTTGGTCTCGTGACTGTAAACCATCACGCCCTTCCTTTACAACAGTCTCATTTGGGGTTGAATTGAACTCCTAGGGGTCTGTTGTTCCCATATATAGACAAGAAGACATTCTGAGTAAAAGGCTACACGACTTCTGTTCTGTATTAACACTTTCTTGTCAAACTCATTGCCAAATTAACCTTGGCTTTGTGTGCTGTGATCTGTGCATCTCTCAGAGGTATGTAGAAGACAGGAAGCAAGGGCGGAGGGAGGTTGTTGGGAAGGCCTCTACTCCTAACAGGATTTGGAGACAAGCCCTAAATGGCTGTTTTCTTCTACCTACTTTATCTCAGTAACTATCATCTCTCACCAGAGAAAGCATAGTCGGGAACGCTCACTAGATTCACATAATATTCCACTGATACTTTTATGAGTAGCTTCTTGTCTGGATGGAGAAGACTTCAAGTTCTTCAGTGTCCATCACAGATTTCAGACTGAAATGTTCATCTGTGTGACAGAGTCGCCTAGAAGCCAGAACTTAGAAAAGTACAGTGACTTGTCCAAGGTCAGACAACTCATTTGGAGCATCGCCAGAAGGGAAACCCCGATTTCCCCGGCCCAGAGCTTGAATGCCTGTCTCCACAGCCTCCTCAGACCCCATCCCCACCCGCGCCACTTCCAGACGGTAAACTAGCGGAGCGCAGTCTTTGAAGTTCAGACCTGGACTTAGGTACTGACTCCTGGCACCTTTTAGCCACATGGGCATGTTGTCCTAAATTCTCTGACCCTCAGTTTCTTCATCTGTATAATGGGAAAAATAATACCCTCCTTATAAGATTGTGATGAGGGTTGACTTAGATTGTGTGTTTTAAAGACTTATGGAACCAGGCCCATAGTAACTACCTACCATGCTCCGTATCTCCCTCTAGGCCCATATCCCCACACCCAGAACGGGTCTCTGATAAACAATGACTTCCCAACAACGATTTTCTGAGAAATCTCGTTAGAGTGGAGAATAGATTTGCTAGAAGCCCTTGTGTGGTGGTGTGCGCCTATTTCCATCCGTGAGCAGGGCTCCTCCGGTCAGTCTTGGAGCACGACTGCACACGGTTGCTTTTAAAATGGCCTTGCCCCTCTCCACATTGTCTACAGTCAGTGACTCCTAAGCTACAGTAACCCGAATGCTTTATTTAGAATAAAACGTTTCATAACTATGTCTTTCTTCATGAAA